CTTTAATTAAATACAAATATGCGAAATCGTTGATTTTGTATGGGAAATGGGTGGCCCCCACTAGGGTGGCCCCAGTAAGGGTGGTTTGACTTATACAAAGGACTAAGTGCCGCTTCCTTAATAAATTTGAAAGTATAATAAATGATTAGAAGCACGAGTTTGATTAGGGCCCGTCATAATTATTCGGCCAAGGCAAACCGACTTGATTACCATATTGATTTTAATTACTCGTTACTTTAGGTAAGGCAAGCGCATATTCAAGCCGTGTCCGACGTTTTCCTTTCATGAGGCTGAGTAAATGTGTCTGAGTAAATGTGTCTGAGTTTAAGTTCTTGTACCGAAGTACCTTCTAGTTTAGTCGTGTCCCGTGTCTGTGTCCCGTGTGTCTGTGTCTCGATTCTCGGCCAAGAGTGGGGCCACGTTTGAGCGGGCTACGGCCACTAATTGAGTTGATTTACATAGTAACGATCTGAAACCGCCCGAGACTAGCATCGACCCTAACTAAGCCTATCGTTTGCACTCCAGCGTCTCGGGATTTCTCTCTCTGCAAGATGGCTGGCTTGCAGGAACGACAACAGAACTGACATATGATGCGAGCCCGCCATCAATTATCTGGGACTCACCGAAATGATTCCGTAAGGATCATTATACACATCGTGATGCTTTTTCGTCATGTTAGCCACAGGTTTTCATTGGGATGCCTATATCTGATCACAATTGGATATCTATTCTGAAGCCCTTCTCTTCTAGGATGGCTGGTTAACCTGGGGGATTAACGGCCAATGGGCGAATTACTATGTAGTAGGTGGATTCTCAGTGCGATGGATCGCCAATACATACATGCATACATACCGACATTACATATCCAATGCATGTGGTCAGACATCTCCTTTCGAACTGCATAGAAGATTACTATTACATATAATCCTATTTACCTATGCCGGAACCGAGGATTTTTGTGTGGCACGCAATAAAGCGCTGTCTCATCGCGCCACACAACGTGGAAAAGGCTAAAATTTCCGGGCGATCTGTATCACTTGGGGGTTTCCCATTGAGGGAAATGATACTTGACATGTGGCCTTATGACCACCTAGGTACGGTTCAACGTTCGTTATACACTCATTCGCTTGGCTTAATCATTGTATATTCTTGTGGGGTTCCTAGTCTAGGTACCTAGTTGAGATTCTGCTTGTCAACCCGGACGGCTGGTTCGTACGACAAAGTGTGCTATTCAGGTACCTTGTTTGAGACGAAAAGAAAGCTGCGCACGACAAACTTATATCGCACATGTACGTAGGAGTCTTACTGGTCGGCCGCTCTTTATTTAGCTGTATTACGTACGCCACCCTCAGATAGATTTGTGACGTCTTTCTTTTTATGTTTAGATGGTTGATTTTGTGGTCTCTCTCGCTCTATTCTGTCTTGTGAGATGCCGACTCGACCAAGTTGCGCGCGGGACTTTACAGTACGTACCCAATAGAACGATCAAACCGACTTAGACCAGGATGACGGGTGTTGAATTGTCTGCAAGTAACGACGCTAGTGTTTCTGATTGGTGAAGTTTCCCCTAATGGTTTGCTGATTGGTTCGAGATCTTAGCTTGAAGCAAGGGTATTAGACTCACGTACAGGGGTTCAGGGATCATCTATCCATTAATCGTTTGAATCTTCCTACGAGTTATGCTCTGGATAAATGCCAACCGCTTCAGGAATACATAAAGCCGTCTTCGAAATCGCTGACCGACGTTACGTCAACTATTGCCATGACAAGCGCCGTCGAAGAGTTAATTTTTATAATCCCTTAAATCTCGGGTCCCACGTGTATATACGCTATGTATGTACGCCATGTAAATGAGCTATGCATCTGCTTATTAGCCTTGTGAATACCTAGGCAACTACTAGGGTAATGTTCGTACGTGAACCGCTGTCGGTTGGGGTTTAGAATGAGGTTTTTAGATTCGGCGGTTATTACCGGGGTTTCCATGCTTGTCCGTGGGTCCGAAGTCCCGTTCAAGATGTGATGCACCGACTTTTCTAGTGCCTCTGGTGCCATCGCGAAGCTTTTTCAGTTAAGCCCGACCCCCTTTTCCCCACAATTCTTCATAGACGATATGAGCTAATGCCAGGTACGAACCGGACCTCAAGCAAGGTCCACTATCTTGATTAGACAGACCTTAAGTGGATAGAACGGGGAGTCGCGATTGATAGTCGCTTTAGTTCTCTCTTTCTGTATCTCGTTGGTGTTGTTCTTTCTTTTCGAGTTTCTTCTTCTGTCTTGTGCAACTTGGGATTGCTTGTTCAATCGCATTTTCTGTCCGCCTTGACCGGTTGACTGGAAACTTCGCCTACTTCATCAAATCTTTGTTCAGCCATCTTCAACGAATATCACAACTCACGACCAAGTGTCGTCTGGTCTCACAGCGCGCCGTACTTGTTGTAATTGTCTGTTTGACACTCTTTTTTTAACTAGTTAATTACTTCTAATTCTCTACTTTCGTTTTCTCCGTTTTCTTCTTATTATCCTTCTCCCTGCAGGACATCCCATCCTGTCTTGAAGACACTTGGTTTGCCCGCGCGCCTTTCGTTTTTCAAAATCATCGACCTTACCGTCGCCTTACAACTTAATTACTACTGAGATTTGTAAGATCAGCCTGCCTTGAGCTCTCGGCTGACTTTCTGTCACTCCAACCCTGTGCTGGCCGTGGTCCTGAAACGCGAACGGTATCCAAGACTTGAAGGTCACATCATCTGGATCTCTCTACCACCCCACTCTCACCTAATCAGGAGCAGCGTTGTGCGACGACTACGGTAGCTTCTTCACACTATCCCCCAACTCGTCGGCAAATATCGTCTTCCGATCGTGTCCGAGTCTTGGCTCTGTTGGAAGACTTCGGAAACACCCACGGGCTTTACCTTCGTTTGAGTATTATCAATCTTGGGTGTTGCCTCCCAGTCTGGAACTAGTCACTCATAATTGAACGAACCCTGGCCGATTTGGGTTGATACGAGGAAAGGCTAGTACCTGTCGAAACGTCAAGTGTACGTGATCTCCTACTTAGTGCTATCTTTTTTATTTTTTAACCCCCCTGGCTGGATATCACTTGCCGGTTAATGTTGCTGCGACCACTAGAATTGGTCACGCCGAGCCCGGATTTTGAATAGTATATGGCTTGATCTTACGATGGATGCCCTTGGCTCTGGAGTTAGGGCTAAACTTCAAGTCTAATCGCTATTTCCATCTTGACTGCTTTGCGAATCCTCATGTACACTCATCATAATTATGTTCATTTTTACCTTCAGCTTAGAGACTAACCGAAATCTAGCTTACATCAACAATTTTATCGGTTTAAAGTGACTGGGTTACTTTTGAACTGCAACTTGCCGCCTACCTGGCATCGCAGCTGTTTCTATTCTTACTATTCGTCTTGGTCGAGGTTAGGATCGGGTTCGTACTTAGTCGCTTACTGGCCGTTATTCTGGATATAGCGAAGACGACGACTTGGTTCCACGACTGTTTGCCGAGCCGAGCGAATTTCTGTTTGCGATACCTTTGGTTTATTTACGCCGAAGCCATTTCCCGCGTTATTAGGACGAACACGAGGCCAGTAGTTTTCAATCTTGTTTCCGTTTAATTCATCTGATCCACCTGCCGGCGGGTCATCGGTTACTGGCATTGTATCGATTTAAACTCGTAGGGTGGGAGCTGGGACTTGTGTATGCGGCTTATACAGCCGGCAAAAGCTGCGACGGATTGGAAAGAAGTGGTATGTGGATATCTGATCTGGGTTCTGCGCTGCCCAGATTGTTTGTTTAAATGAGTCAATCTCAAAATGGGCGGTATAATGGCCAACCACCGGCTATGGAGGGATCTGTTAAAAGAGCGAGGGAGATGGCTAGAGCGAGAGAGTTAGCTGATGCGAACGGGGCAAGGGGAAAGATATCACCATTTCCAGAACCTGCATCCATGAGACGGCCTCAAGTACCTGCAGGACTACAACTTAGGGACGAACAAGGACAGATAGGAATGGCGATATCGAGACCGACACCGCTGTCCCAGTGGCCGCTCGCCGGGCCTGTCGCGGCACCATCACCTAGTGATTCAGAGCCATACCGACCGCCACCTGGCAGATCGCAACCACCCCAACGCCCTCCACGTCCTAGCAGAGTGCCGTCAATTTTAGACAGTTCTCGTATTCAGGAGTACACGCCTACCTTCCAGTACGCACCTCAGAACGCTGGAGCATCGGAGCTGTCCGCACCCGAGACAATGCAAAGCGAATCGTTGAGACTGTCGACTAACTCGTCAGTCGGAACGATTCCCGATTTTCCATTACCGGTGGCTGCGGATTCGCTAACTCCGACAAGGAGAAGTGTAAATCTAGGTCCGCCGCCATCTTCAAGGAGAGGAGCCTCGTCGTTTTATTCAACTGTATCGTACGTTTCACCGATACCAGAAGAGAGCCTGAGGACGCGATCACGTACTTCTTATGCGTCTAGCGCGGCGATACCGGATTCCTTCGAAAATTTATCGCCAGGATACAGTCCGGGCGCGGTCTCTATTAACGACACGATAGCGGAGGAGTCTTTTATTAGCGACGACGCGGATGAAACTAGCCTAGTTAGGAGTGCGAGCATTGGAAAGAGGGGAAAGCCGGCTCTGATAACCACAGGAAGCTTTGAAAAGAGCGATTCGATGCTGAGACCTGGACCTACGCCGGTTCAGGGCGGTCCGTTCCGAGACGGTACTGGATATATCGAGGCCTCGTCAAGCTCGTCAGGAAATGTTTCCAGAGAGGCTGTCGGCACTGGCGTGACTACCGATAACATGCTGAATGCTTTTGAAGGCGCTAGCGCCACAGACCCTTCATCGATACGGAATGTTGGTCCATCACCGAGGCCATATAATAGTCTTTCCGCAATTAGACGTCCACCACGTCTTGATATAGATGCAGTAAGAGCGGCCGAGGCTAGAGGGAGCTTGACGAGCTTGCCGGATCTAATTCGACGGGCGACGAGGCTGGCATCGCTGATGGACAGAGGCCGTAGACCAGGGAGTCGTTTTAACGATCTCGACTTTCCTGAGGAAGCCTATGGCAATGATCCTGAGAAGGACTTTTATTGTTCGTTCCGCTACCATCTCTAATTGTTTAATGTACTAATTGACTTGGCAGATAATAATAACAATAAGCACCAGTCTGGGCTGTCTGATATGCTAGCGGCATTTCCGCCCCCGGCAACTCGAAGTGGAGTACGAAAAAGCAGACTCTCCGCTGCTTGGCCGTTGGGCCGAATGTCGTTCCGCGGCCCGCCGGCAGCAACAGAACCGGGGGTCGACCCTGAACGGGGACCGCAGAAGAAGGGGCGCCGTTGCTGCGGGTTGCCTATATGGACTTTGTTTGCGCTGGCCTTCATGTTATTATGCATTGTAACCGCTGCGGTTATTGTTCCTGTCAAATTTCTCGTTCTTGACAAGCCGGTTGAAAAAAGTGTAGCGCAACCGGCTATTTCAAACTGCGAGGCGCAGCTAACCTGTGCTAATGGGGGCACAAATGTGGTTGTGCAGGGTGTCTGTTCGTGTATCTGTTCCAACGGTTTCACTGGGGCGGACTGTACAGTTCCTACTTCTCAGGGCTGTACTACAACATCGATCATCATGGAAGGCACCAATATCAATAACGTCACTATTGGCCAGGCAGTTCCCCGTCTTATCAGAGATGCACAGAGTAACTTCTCGATTCCTCTAGTTGCCACGTTGATACAGTCAAAATTCAACAAAGAAAGTCTATCCTGCAACACGGAAAATGCGTTGGTAACCTTTAACGGACAATCTTTTCGAACACAAGAGTCCTCGGCTGAGGTCTCTGACCTTAGTTCGAGCCCTCATCTCGCGCAGGCTGCTATAGCTGCCGAGGATATCGCCATTACTCTAAGCGTTTTTCCGGATATTGATATCACATTGACAGTTGAAAATCCGGCAGGGACTGGCGCGTTCACTGGGAGTTTCGTGGTGACTACTCTAACTAATCCGACTACAATTTCTGGATCTACTCTATTTGCTACTACTATAACACCTAGCAACTCCAAGCGATCTTCACCTACGCCACAGCCTACGACAGCCTCGACAACAGCCTCGACAACAACCCCGACAACAACCCCGACAACAGCACCCGCCTCGACTACTACTACTACCACCTCAAGTAGTACAAGCTCGGCCCCCGTGCCAAGTTCAACTTTTACTGTTACGGAGGAGATTGTCGACTTTGCGCGCGTGGCTGTGCTTTATATTTTCCAAGAGCAAGCATTATCCGATGCAGTAACTGCCCAATCCTCGGTCCAGAGCTTTTTCACTGACGTAGACGCCGGTCGAAATACGTCTTCCCGCGTGATGATGGACCAAGGATTGAATGTCACTCTTGGCGGAGGAAACACAATTGATTTCGTGAACCTATTTGTTGATATAGGCAGAGGACGAGTCGGAGGTCGCAATAATTAATATGTTTTGACCAAGGAAACTTATGCGCCTACGTTTCGAATGCTATTCGAGCCGGTCGGGCAACAATACCAAGCCGCTCGCTAAATGAACAACGGGGGCGAGCTGACTTACAATATGCCGCGGGCCTAGAGAGGTCGCGAGTATTTAACGTATGACTGTTCTATTTTCTAAGTTGAAGACAAGCCCAAGGGCGTTGTTCTTCGTGTACAAAATATCCGTATCGATTTTCACGCATGAACGGCACGAGGAAACCAATTGCATGTGTAGAGAAGAGGGTTTAGCGCCGGCGTAAATAGGGGAGAACTCGTAGATAGCTCGAGCAATCTTTCGAGGCAATGTTTAATAGAATCGTATCTTAACCAGATAAAAAAAAAAAAAAAAAAAAGGCTGCGTGATACATGGTTCGATAAATCTGACCCCGACCCTGACCCCGACCCCGCCTCAATATTACTTAGCTTGTTGGAACGTCGGAACCAGAGTGGGAATATTGAAGTTTACTTACATTGGCTGATACATACAGTCAAAGCGAAGTACGCATAGCGCGTCTATATACTGTGCGAAGGTCAAGTATGTAAATTGTAATTCTCCAATACATATCAACTATGTACCTATGTATGTACATGTGCCGCGCAAGTGCTGTGGAGTCTGGTCCACAGGCTATACATATGTATCATACGAGGATTACAGGATACGATCGGTTGGATCTGGAAATCCATACAGTGTACTAGTTACGGTGCAAGCAATTCCGAAGCTACGGGAACTTTTTTTTTTCTTCTTATTGTTTTACGTAACCTAGGTATGTATGTATGTAGGTCCGGTAGTTAAGTGAAAAAGGACCTAAACCAAGGTAACTATGCCTATGCGTAAATGTGGGGAAAGAAAATCACAACAGCTTTATTGCAGCCCTAGTTCTTTTTTTTTTTTTTTTCTTTTTTTTTTTCGACATCTGTGCTGTTTGTCCTTTGCTGTTATTGGCGCGCAAGTGGTGATGCAGTTTGACTACGGCATTTAACTACCTAGGTAGCCCACTTGCCTGACTGACTATGTGTATGTGTATGTGCATGTGTATGTGCATGTGTATGTAGCGCAGTGGGATGTACCGTCTAAGAGGTATGTTAGGTACCTAGATTAGGTAGGTAGGTATGAGGTATGTAGTTTAGACCTTGCCGTCGCATAGTTAGCGTGCGGTCAGGCGGTGCGGTTACAATACACTATGTATAGTACCTAACCTAGGTATTTTGCTTTCCAAGGCACGAGTGCAGGTTTAGGGCTTGCTAGGCTAGACGGCACCCGTAGATATGCCCATGCGGGTACGGCCCCGTATGTATCTGCCGTGACGGCGACGGCGATTCGCCGAGGTTGGGGCTGGAACGCTATGTTGGTTTGGCCTAAAGCTGGTAAAGTGGTGGGTTTATACATACATAGCATATGCGAGTCTACCTAGTCCAGGCACGAGGAGATCCTACGGGGAACTTCTGGAGTTGCGAGTCGCGGCTGTTGGCCCGTGTGGATGGGGGTGGGCTGGTTTTATATGTAAGGTACAATCGCCATGATGATGATGATACTTACGGTGCATATGTCTATGTATTTGCGAGACAGCGGGTCTTATACGTACAGCATGCAATGCATTAGATATGTATATTATACAGATTATACATAACTAATATGATAATATGGCATATACTATTTGTAGGCTGTGCAACCCCCCGTAGGGAAAATGCAGCTAGGGCTGCTTACCGGCTTACGAGGCTTTAAAGACCCAATCGGATGGCGTCTGTCGGAGATGGAGAAAATGCAGAGGCAGAAGAGAGGGCTGAAGAGATGCGGTGTGGCCTTGAGGGCCCGGATGTTTGGGAGGGATATGAGGCTTTATGGGGCTTTATGGGGCCTTTTCCTAGCGCTATGATCGATTTACTATCTTTGCTGTAACCTAGTAGTGTATGTATGTACATATGTAGGTGTTGACGGACCCTGGGACCTTGGGACCTTGGGCTGATGCTGATGCAGGGGCAGGGCGTTGATCCGCGTGGGCTGGGCAGTACCAAATAACCAAATAGCTTGTGCTGAGGGATCGACAAGTGCCGGGCTGCGCGGGGGTTTGCTGCTGTGCTGCTAATGACCGCATGGCTTGATGCTTTTCTTTTTTCTTTTTGTTGGCTTTGCCCTTTTGCCCTTTTCCCCTTTTGTCTTTCGGGTTCCTTCACTGTCCTTACTGTACTGTGCGTAGTATTGATGATGTGAGAGAGTAAGTAGGCACACCAAAGGATGGGAGGATTCTGCCCGAGCATACCACACACTGTTCCCTCTTGGACATTTTCTCATCCCCCTGTGCCTTGCATGCCCTGCATGTCCGAGATGCGGGTCGTTCTGGCTCGACCCATCAGTACTCACAAATATTTATCGTCTTTATATTTGTACTTCTCCCGGACCTCTAGGGTTTCTTCTGTCAGCTGAAGGGGGGGTTCGAAAAAAAAAAGAGAAAGAGTAAGACATTCGAACCATATGAGCAGCCATCTCCCAGCCCACTACGTTCCTTTTTAATATTTATGATTACGATGATGACCATGGTTTGAATATGATCATATTATCTGTCCTTCCTTTTGAATAAAACACGCCTCGGGTCCATCATTCGCTTTACCTGATCCAAGTCAATTACCGAGGACATTCCTTATTGCCTACCACACTCGGTAGCCCGTTGTTAGCCCGGATTCGCATCACTCATTACCGATTCGACCTGGAGTCATCTTTGACAAGATCGGTGGGTTCCATATACTTGAAACCAGCGAACGCACAATCCTTAAGCGGTCCTGGGGAACGAGTGAGGAATATTCACTACCTCACATAATGTCGGATCACGAAGCTACACAAGGAAAGCGGAGGAGCCCCGAGTTGTTAGCACTGCCGAAACTGATCGTACCCACTACCATTGTCGAGGATTTCGATGCCAACTCATCGAATGGTAATGTCGTCCTCCAGCCTCATGCCCTGAGTGTCGATTTTCCGTATAACACAGGCGAGCCTGTATCACCATGCTCAGATCTTGCACCCTCATCTCGATGTAGCGTTGTCTCACTTTCACCATCCCTCTTCCCGCTACCACCAAGCAGTGCTACTCCGCCAACTACTGCTCACTCATCAATGCTGGACTCGCCGCCGCCATGCACATCACACTCGCATTCCTCTATAAATTCGTGGTTTTCTCCGCCATCGCCGCCTCCTTCTACACCGCTACCACCCACTCCCACGCAAAAAAGGATAGCCAGCCTCATCGGTCTTGCAAGTGGCCTCGAACATATCCAGGTACCTGCTTATGCCAAGGTTAAGTGTCCTCTCTCGGAGTCGCCTGAAATAAGTCCGGCAAGTCCAATAAATGATCCCAGGGCGCCACCCCGGCGGCTCACAACTTTTACCATCGACTCCCAGGGATTCCGGGAGTCGGTAATAGATCCAGACGTAACCCTTACACCACCACCACCAAGGTCATCGCTACCGCTCCCGTACTCGCCCGGTCTATGCACCCCGGAGCGCTTAAGTAACGCTAGCGTGCCGAGCACCCGAGTGGACTCGACGACGCCATTGGCGTATAATCTGGCGGATTATGAACACGGCCGAACTCCTCATAGCCCCGAGTCCGAGCGCGAAAGGAGAAAGCAGCTCAGGGACGTAGAGGCCGGAGGGACAGGTTGGTGGGCGCGACACCGGCAAACCAAGCTGCAGAAAAGGAGAAAGAAGATGACTATGGTGATTATAGGCGCGGCTTCGACAGCCGTGTTAATAATTGTAGCTGGGGTTGCCGTTGGGATATATCTGGCAGTGTCCGGTAGTGTGTCGTAGGCAGGCCTTACCACCCCATCTCCCATCTCCCATCTCTTATATGGATATAAGAGCTATTTACGATATAATTATGATGCAAGAAAAAGAAGGGATAGAAGGTGAGATAGACAAGGTACCAACCAAGGTATGCCTATATATAAGTACCACCTTCATGTATGTATAATGAGTGTATGAAACACATCTGGGCTGCGTACCATGGAGCCCCCAGATAGACAAAGACATGACATGACATGACAAGACAAGACGAGTGCGTATGCACAATCCTTCGTCTCGTGATGAACTGTTGTAAGTTTGTACTTGGAATTTTACCTTCTGACCTGCACGTAAGATGTATCCGATATAAGATCAGGTAGCTTAAGCATGATTGGGGATTTACAACGGCCGTTAAATGGTGCGCAGGTAAAAGATGTATGAGTAAGAAAAGGGTAAGATTTGTTGCTTACGCGAAGAATTCGGATACCAAGCGCGAACTAACTAACCTAACCTAGGTACATAGCACGTGAGAGTTCAGTGGCCCGATCGGCATTATACACCTCCGGGGGAAAGCGACTCCCCGGGTTGACCCACTAATAATGGATCCAATCTCACTAGGTTAACCTAGGTATGTATTGTAAAGCACGGGATTTCTCTTCCACACCGACGATGATTAAAATGCTTACGAAATCTGTTCCCGTCTACCACGGTTCATCCGATCTGAATCATCGCTATGTATACCTATGTATAATTCAGTCTGACTATTATTATTCTCCTTGTTCCTAGTCCTAAAAACTACACGACCTAATCAACTCAGCAATAACACCTTTTACACCTTTTATATTTAGAAGCGCTGATGCAATTCGTACCCCTTTACCAATATTCACACTTGTCTATCTCGCCTCTTATACCCACCAACCCACCCATCTTACCTAACCTAACTATTACTACCTAACTATTACTACCTAACTATTACTACCTACAATCAACAACCCGAACCACACACTATGGAGCGACCAAGCATGCCGCAAGCGCGGCCTCAGCCTAAGCCTAACAAGATGAATTATGCCTGCGAGGCGTGTCGAATATCCAAGATTAAGTGTCAACCCGGAACACAACCGGGGATCTGTAAGCGGTATGGCGCCATCGTGACCAGCTCCCCAGCATTAGTCTTCAATCCTACCCCCTACTATGTCCATGTCGATCAAGGGCTAAATATGCATACCATCTTGCACGATACAGCTGCTCCGAGTTCAAACGGGAATGCGTCTTTCGAACCGGTCCACGAACCCGGCGACCCAAGGTTGCTCGGCCGTAAGTACCATGTTTTTGTTCTGTTTCCCTTTAATGTAACTCGAACCCCCCCCCCCTTTTTTTTTTTTTTCTTTTTTCTTTCTTTCTTTCTTTCTACCTACTGTAGGATGTAGTTGAGCTTAGAGTATCCCATCAGAGATGCAGAGGCCCGGCCGCCTCCTCCCGGCCCCAGTCAGACCTTCAGCATCGACTTCACCATGCCCGCTGATGATGATCTTCATGATAACTTCGACGCTCTGAGGGAAAAGCACGAACGCTTCATCGATGGCCTCATACCGTCTAGTGACGACGAGTCAGCCGATGATCCGGCGCAGCTGTTGTCGACGGGGGAAGCGTTCAACTTTAACGATCTCTCCATGCCGACTCCGTCTGGGGCGCCGGCGAGATGCGCTTCGCGGCCCGTAAGCAGCCTCGGTATCAAGCCGCGCTTCAACCTCGAATCGGCAGAAAAGCTGCTCGAGTCGTTCCGGGCTATGCTGCCGTCCTCTCCGTGTATTGCGTTGCCCGATGATGCGGACGTGCGGTCCTTGGCTCGCGACATGCCCTTCGTGCTCTTGTCTCTGCTCGCCGTGACGAGTTGCTCTACGAGCTTGCAAGGCCATAGCCTCTATGACGAGGAGTATCGTAAGATTTTAGCTTTAAAATTTGTCGCTGGGGGTGAAAGATCCATCGAGTTGCTGCAAGGAATTATGATTTACTGTTCCTGGTAAGTAAGCTTTGTTTTGTGTATAAGCTTATGCTTATGGCAGTAGATATGGTATGAGATACTCACATACTACTTTACCTCCGTATCAAACATAGGGGTGGGATAGTTTTGACAAATTAACTTGTCTACTAGGTACCCCTTTCATCTACGCCCGAAAAATAGGCAGTTACAGCAGTATCTACGAATGGCCACAGATATTGTACGTGACTTAGGATTAGATGAGGAAACACGTATAGATCTCGCGACCATGCCACCAGAGAGAAAGGCAGCCAAGTTGCAAAGCATCCGGGCGTATCTTTCTTGTTTCCACTACAACTCAGTGTCAGTCAAAATTAACTACCTCTTTTATTATATCTTCAATTTTAACCTCAAAGTAGATACGCGTGGGCGTGGTCTAAATCGTCTACGCTAAGGTATACGCCGTGGATGGCCAAATGTTGCGATATGCTAGAGCAATACAGCGACCTTGAGCAGGATCACATCCTTGTATGGCTCGTCCGTCTGCAGTATGTGCTAAATGAATTTGAAGAGCTACATAGAAGTTACAAGAAGCACGATGCTAGCAACCAGAGCGATCACCACAAGCAACTTATTCGGGCCGGCCTTGAGATGCAGCTACGAGATTTCCAGGCCAGAATCCCCATCCGCCTTTCAACTAAGCGTTAGGATACCCCTTTACCGTTGTCTTGTCCTTGTAGCTAATGGCAACATACCATAGCGAGTATTTTGATGGCCTCCCTCGCCGGCGATGCATTCCTCCTGGCCGCACCTCTCATGCAGACGGTTCGCCCGCGTCCAGAAGATGCATCGGCACTCATGATCGATCCCGCCAAGCTTCAATCTGCCGCGTATACAGCACGGACGTTGCTGGACTACGTCGTGAACCTATCCCCGACGCAGATGAGCTACTTTTGCGGGGCTGACCTCACACGTTTCATTCTAACAATTATCCTCGGCTACAGACTTTCATTTCCGATGTCATTCTGCCCCAGCTATGATTACTCCCAGGGCCGGAAAGTCTTGGACTTCGGCACGTATCTCACCAAGTTGTCGAGCAACAACGACAGCGGTGGCGGTAATACCAACGACGATGCTGCGAATAGCGGTACTGGAAGGGCAAGCAAGATAACCGATGTTGTGAGTGCCCTGAAAGTCGTCCTGGGATCCGTAAAGACAAGTTTCTACAAGAAGTCCGCCGTGCTAGAAGCCGCTGCCGAGGAGCATAACAAGAGAGCGCGGCTATGCCCAATGTTCGACGGAAGCCTAGAGCAGTATCTTCCGCAGTGGGAAGGGGAAGAGCAGCAGGGGAGCAGCAACAACACCTCGGGTTCATCGTACGCACCCTCTTCGCACAGTGGGAGCGGTAGCGGTAGCGGTAGCGGAAGCTCGGCGGCCCATCCCGCAGCACCGTCAACGGCGGGCGAAGACGGAGTAGCGTCGCCGGAGTCGGCGAAACCAATGCTATTCCAAGACCTCTGGGCCACGATGACGGTGGGTTGGGCTACGGATCTAGATATGAACTTGCAGCAAGGTGTAGATGTACCGGAGATGAATGGTGTCGAGTATGTCGATCTTATGGGTATGAGAGAGTCGTTTCACGACTTGTGATTACGGTGGCGTGACTCATGGTCGTTTTTACGTGGCTGATCAAGGGGTCCGAGAAGTTCTGTAACTCATCAAATACTGTCTGTTATCCAATTGTACGCATTTGTCATATCTCAGAATGCCTGTAGATATTGTTAGTTGCCATGTTGTAATCCTATTGGCAGCGATCGTAGACAGCACTGTTAATTTAGTCCTTACAGAGACGCGATGTGTGACAGCCTGGGGGATACTTGATATCAAAGTGGCGGCCGCCAGCTTGTTCCGGCCAGTGTCAAGTCATTTGGACCTATGGTGACGGGACGGGATATCCAACGCGTCGACGCCTTACATATGGCTGCAGCGCATCCTAACGCCTATCCGAAATACCTACAGCGCAAACGCCATACCGGAAGGTATGCCGTTCAATACTCGGGAGCTCCCTGCTTCTCTGCCCCGCACGGGAAGCGCGTCTAGCAGCACTGCGCCAGGCTGAAATGCGTTCCAGGTCACATCACATCTCACATCCCTCTCGGCCTTCCGGCCGTTGTTAGTTAACCTGCGTGCCCCTCTAACGTACATCGTCGCCAAACCCACCACACTACCACACCATCTGCCATCGTCACCCACTCTTCCACCTGATGAGAGCCTGGTTGACATATTGGTAGTTGTAATGCAGCACATACAAAGTATAATAAAAAAATAAACAAAGGGAAATCTCATAAATCCTAAAGCAAAACTTCTTCCTTTCCCGTAACAGCCGTACCTCTAGCATACCCTAACGCCGACCTTTTGCTTACCTATGCCTCCTTTCTCTCCCTATATCCTCTCCTTTTTTTTATTCCGCTTTTGGTCGAGAGCAGGTATTGTTGTAAAAACTGGTTACCTGAATATCTATTTTGTGGGTTGCAAGTATTAATATTCGAAAGTTTGTGCTAGAATAAGCCGATCATTGCCGTTATCCCTCGCCTTGCCGGCATCTACCTACCCCCTTTTCCTTTATCGTCGACATGTCATCCCCCGGAGCGACGAAGAAAATCTCAGCTCAAGATTACCAAGTACTGGTGAACGATTTCAACGCCACTGACGACGCCTCTCTACTAGGGCATCGGCTGGATCGACTATTCGAGAAAGTCGTGGTGAGCTTTCCCCAAAACATCGCCCTAGTTCACGATAAAACCGAGGTATCCTTCCAAAGGCTTAATTCATCCGCAAACGTTCTCGCTCGCAGTCTTGCTCGGCGAGGTATACAATATGGCGATGTGGTCGGTCTCGCCGTGTCACGTTCTATCGACCTCGTGGTCTCCATGCTAGCTGTGCTGAAGCTGGGGGCCGCATATGTTCCCCTCGACTCGACGTTCCCTGCCGAACGTATTAATCAGATGGTTGAAGACGCCAGTCCTAAATTTATCCTCAGCGACGGCCCGAGTAGAGGCCTTGCGGACTGGAAGCACCTATGCTTGAGCATTTCTCAGGCAAGAGATGACACAATCACCGATACGACGAACCTCGGGACTGAAATTCGAGTCCAGGATTTGGCGTACGTCATCTATACATCTGGATCTACAGGGCGTCCCAAAGGCGTCGAGATTAGCCATGGGGCCGCGGCGAACTTTTTAAGCTCGCTGCGGAAGTACGAACCCGGGTGCAGCGAGCACGATCGGTTGCTTGCCATCACGACGATTTCTTTCGACATGTCAGCTCTAGAGCTGTTGCTCCCACTTCTGTCTGGTGCCACAATGATCATTGCAAATGCAAGTGCGGTTAGGGATCCACGTGAGCTTCTCGGTCTGATGAAACGCAATCAAGTCACTATTTTGCAGGCGACACCTGCGACATGGACGATGCTCCTAGAGTCTGGATGGGAAGGGGAGCTGCGACTTTCCAAGATAATATGTGGAGGCGAGCCGCTTTCACGCCACCTGGCAGACCGCTTGCTCACCTCTGCTGATTCGGTGTGGAATGTGTACGGTCCGTGTGAGACGACATATGGAAGCGTTGGGAGAGTCGGGGAAGGTGATATTGTTGTTGGAAACCCCGTTGCTAACGGTCGAATTTATGTCCTCGACGACAACATGTCACCTGTGCCAATGGGCTGTGAAGGCGAAGTGTATATTGGCGGTGGTAGTCTGTCGAATGGATGCCGCAATAAAGTCGACCTCACAAACTCGCGAATTCTCGCCAACCCTTTCCATGGCGGCAGGTTCTTCCGCACTGGTGACTTGGCCCGATTTATAGGACCGGGGAAGCTGCAGGTCCTAGGCCGCATAGATGGCGTCGTCAAGATCCGTGGTCACCGCATCGAAGTGGGCGACATCGAAACAGTCCTTCGATCATCCAGGTGTGTCTGAAGCGGTTGTCGTTAGTCGTGACGATCGTCTAGTTGCGTACTGCGTGCTTTCCTCGTCCTTCTCCAGTGCGGTATCACTCGGTGATAATTTACGTCTGTGGGTTGCTGAGCGCCTCCCGTCCTACATGGTGCCAACATTCTTCGTGCAAATGGATGCACTACCCTTGTCGCCCAACCAGAAGATCAACCACAAGGCCCTCCCAGACCCTATGCAAGCGATCCAATGCCGAATCTTGACGCAGCCTGTCTCCGAGCTGGAACGACAAATTCAGGCTATCTGGACCGACGTTCTTGGACACGACCGTATCGGCATAGAGGATAATTTTTTCAACATTGGCGGTGATTCTGTGCGCCTCATTCGCGTGCAAACGGCGTTGGGAAAACGACTGGGTCGACCTGTGTCAATCCCTAAACTATTCGAGCACTACACGATCAAAACATTGGCTGGATATTTGGCTGATATGGAACGAGACCAGAGGTTGACATCTCATGTGTTAGGCCACGACTTCAGTGACAGCAATGAAAAAATTGCTGTGATTTCCATGGCATGTCGATTGCCCGGTAGCGTGGTAACGCCCGAAGAATTTTGGCAATTGTTGCAGAGCGGTGGCGACGCGACAGTCGACGTGCCCACAGATCGTTGGGATGTCGACAAGATTTATTGTAATAAATACCCTCATGTTGACGGCACGTCGTATTGCAGTCGAGGCGGCTTCCTCGACTCAGTCTACTCGTACGACGCATCCTTTTTTGGCATATCGCCGCGCGAGGCACAAGCAATGGACCCGGAGCAGCACCTGATATTGGAGTTATGCTGGGAAGGCTTTGAACGAGCCAACTATACAAGGGATCGTCTGAGCGGTAGTCCGACGGGCGTTTTCCTTGGTATTAGCAACAATGGAGTGACCAATGGAACACCACCGGATCTGAAGGGATACACCATTACTGGAAGTGCCGGCGCTACCTTGTCTGGCCGTCTTTCTTATACCTTTGGTCTGCAGGGGCCATCTCTCACTGTTGACACTGCGTGTTCGTCGTCTCTGGTGGCCACACACCTGGCATGTAATGCTCTGCGTCAAGGCGAGTGCAACATGGCCCTAGCCGGTGGCGTAAGCCTTTTACTCAATCCCGGCATCCACGTTGAATTCAGCAAGCTTCGTGGTCTTTCGGCGGACGGCCGGTGTCAAGCGTTCTCAGATGACGCGGACGGCACAGGGTTCAGCGAGGGTGCCGCTGTCATAATACTGAAGCGATTGGCTGATGCAAGACGCGACGGCGACGACATTCATGCCGTACTGAGTGGTACTGCCGTGATGCACGGAGGCCAAAGCTTTGGCCTAACGGCACCCAGTGGCCCTGGCCAAGTCAGACTGATCCGCACTGCCTTGGTCCGGGCAGCGATAGAGCCTGACGATATTGACTACATCGAGGCCCATGGCACTGCTACCAAGCTGGGCGATCCAATTGAAGCTGCTGCACTGGCCGAAGTCTTCGGACGCGAGCGTTCTAGCCCATTAATGCTCGGCTCAGCCAAGTCTAACGTTGGGCATGCCCAAGCCGCCGCTGGCCTCGTTGGTTTGCTAAAGGTTGTGCTGTCCATGCGAAATAGTTCTATCCCCAAGACATTACATATAAGCAAGCCTACTACAGCAGTCGACTGGAAGAATGCCAATATGGAGTTGACACTGGAGAATTTACCGTGGCCCCCGAATCGTAGGCGACTGCGTCGGGCTGGTGTGAGTGCGTTCGGCATTGGTGGCACAAATGCCCATATAATTGTCGAAGAGCCATCTAGGGCTGTCATGGAGGAGATCGATCACACGAAATCCCTTACCCTCCCAGCTCCTGTCCCGTTCGTGCTGTCAGGAAACAGCAAGCCTGCTCTTACTGCACAGGCCAAGAGACTTCGGGTGCATATAGAAAACGGGATAGGAGGAGACGATCGTCTGAGTGATATAGCCTACTCGCTAGCGACGTCCCGCACACACTTGCGTCAGAGACTTGTCGTGGCGGCCGATGACAAGGCGCAGATGCTGGAAAAACTGGAGTTTGTTAGCTCGAGCGTTCTCGAGATGTTTGACGTGAGCGAGGTCGGTAAGGCAAGCTTGGGGATGCTCTTCACAGGGCAGGGCAGCCGGTAACCGGGGATGGGCAAGGATATGTATGCTGTCTATCCTGTTTTCCGGGAGACGCTAGACGAGGTTGCTACCACGTTCAGGGAGTTGGAGTCGCCCCTTCTTGACGTTATATGGGCCGAACAGGGAACCCCGAATGCGTCTTTGCTGGATCGTGCCAATTACACCCAGCCTGCCCTCTTCGCTCTCGAAGTGTCTCTCTGGAAATTATGGCAGAGCTGGGGCGTGAAACCTGACTTTCTACTCGGACACAGTATAGGGGAGCTTGCTATAGCCTATGCCGCGGGGGTGTTAGACTTACCCGACGCTTGCCGGCTTGTTATGGCGCGCGGTCGCTTGATGGAAGGCCTTCCCCTTCGCGGAAAGATGGCGTCGATAGAAGCAAGCGGCACTGAGGTCACCGCGGCGATAAAGGAATTGAGCCAGTCTGAGCCCATTCAGGCTGGTAAGTTTGAAATTGCAGCCTATAACACGCCCTCCCAGACTGTTATATCGGGAGACATAGAAGCCGTCGACGCTGCAATCCTTCACTTTACGGGACTCGGTCGTAAGGTGAAGGTACTTGATACCAGTCACGCCTTCCACTCATACCACATGGATGTCATGCTAAATAGTCTCAGGGCGTGGAAGAGATGATATTCGAAATTAAATGGCGTCAAGTCGACACGGGTAAAATCCAGTCCCATGGCTCGTGGGGTCTTCTTTGCCCGATAGAGGAGACAGCGTGGGCGGTGAAGACGTGTGCGGTCTTATCAAAAACGAGCATTCGGCTGATACCCGTGACTAAGCTCCAAGAGGCCGAGAAGCTTGACGGCTTGATTTCTCTGTGGAACTCTAACGCCAACGTGGTTCAAATGGCGCATGAACTCACTGCGAAGGCGTTGTCTCAGTTGCAAGAGACAATTCAGAGTCGATTCACGGTGCCAATAACGTGGATCACCCGTCATGCCATCGGCACTGAGGCTGATGACCAAGCAGTTGGGATCGGGGCAGCGCCGTTATGGGGCTTGATGCGGACTGCACGAAGTGAGCACCCAGAGTTGCGTCTGCGGATGATCGACGCGGATGAAAATACGGATCCAATGGTTTTCGAGCGAGCCTTGATGCTAGTTGACCAGACAGAAATTGCTACCCGTAGGAAAACGCTGCTTGCGCCACACATGGAGCGAGCTGGCCAGGCCGCGTCGCCCGCAATCAGGAAGCCATTGCTTCAAACTGACGGCTCCGTACTAATTACGGGTGGTCTCGGTGATCTTGGGCGCCGCGTAGCCCGTAGACTTGTGACCTTGCACGGACTTCGCAACTTAATTCTGATGTCGCGGCGCGGCATGGAATCCCCTGGTGCCGGGACAGTTGTGGCCGAGCTTGCAAAGCTGGGTGCCACAGCTACGATCGTTGCTGGCGATGTAGCAGATCCCGACAGCCTCAGATCAATTACGCAGCTATTTACAGCCGATCGGCCCTTACGCGGCGTGGTTCATGCTGCTGGGGCAGTCGACTCCGGTATTCTCTTGTCCCTAACCCCCCAGAAGTGCGCTGCAACTTTCGGGCCAAAGGTAGGCGGCACATGGAACTTACACCACCTGACGAAAGATATGGATTTGGATTTCTTCATGATTTTCTCGTCTATCTCTGGCGTGATGGGCTTGCCAGGGCTAGGGAACTACGCCGCTGCCAACGCCTTCGTCGACGCGCCCGCATACCTGCGACGCGCCCAGGGTCTGCCGGTCACCTCGGTGGCTTACGGCCCATGGAAAGGAGACGGTATGACAACGACTCTTATTCCGACCACTCGTTCTCATCTTTCGCAGCTTGGACTAGGTTTCCTCGCGCCGGAGGCCGGGTTGAAGATATTCGAGCAAGCCGTCCACCACGGTCGCGTGCTCACCGTAGCTGCTGTGCTTGATTTAGAGCGGCTCAAGACCTACTACGGAGAACAGGGCGGTGTGCCCACCTTCTTACGCTCAATACTAGGCGATAACAAAGCCAAAGATCTGTCCAGTCAGGCCGCTGGTTTACGCGACATGATGGCCGTCGCTGCTCCTCAACACCACAGCAGCATTGTATTACAAACGGTCCGAGAAACCATAGCCAAGGCCCTGGGGTACACCGGGATAGCTGATGTAGACGCCAATCGACCACTGAGGGAATTGGGAATCGACTCCTTAACCGCGGTCTTGATCCGCAACCACCTAGCGACGTCTACAAGTCTGGCGCTGCAACCCAACATCGCCCTCCTTCATGCCGATGTAAAGTCACTTAGCGAGTTTCTGCTTTCTCAGTTGCGAGCCAATTCTGAGAGAAATTCATCGAGCGAGTTGGAATTCGACGGTGCGACACCAAGTACTACGGCATCGGCTGCTTCTTCGGTCAATATGGCAGCCATACGAAAGGGGCTTCTCGATCCCATGTTCCAGTTCGACAACGTAGCCAAGCACCCCACTACCTGTTCCGGCCCTCCCAAGACGGTTTTCGTGACAGGGGCAACAGGGTTCGTCGGTGCGTTTATGATACACGAGTTTTTCAAAAAAGGCATCGCTGTGTACTGCTTAGTGCGCGCGGACAAACTCGCCGAGGCGCAAGACCGCATGATCCAGACGCTGAAGCAATACGGCCTCTGGAACTCTGAGTATGAACCGCTGGTGAACTCGGTTGTCGGCGATCTCGCCCAGCCACTCCTCGGCCTCTGCGAGGGTGAATTTGATGACCTGGCCGACAAGGTCGATGCTATCCTTCATTCGGGAGCTCTCGTCGATTGGATGCATCCACTCGACGATTACGTCGGCCCCAATATCCTCGGCACACACGAGATTCTACGTCTTGCCTCTCGTGGACGTGGCAAGGCTGTCCACTATATCTCGACGATCTCGACGTTGCCTATCCACGGAGGCTACGGCCTCGCCGAGCACGACGGAGAGTACGGCTACGGGACTTCGAAGTACCTAGCTGAGCGAATGGTTACGGCCGCCCGTTTCCGCGGTGCCAAGGCATCGTCCTATCGTCTGCCATTTGCCACTGCCTCGGCCGCCTCGGGCCATTTCCGACTCGATAGCGGCGACTTTCTGAATAATCTTATAATCTTATCTGCCTAAGTCTGGACTTGGGTGCCTTTCCTGCTATTAACGCTCACATGTCTTCCGTACTACCGGTGGATTATCTATGCGGTACCATTGCAGCCCTCGTTGCCGGTGGCCAGCAGCGAGTTGGCGAGGACTACGACTTCGTAAGCCTGCGGGCGCCCACATTCGAGGAGTTTTTCAAAGTCATGAATCGGGTCAGCGGTGGTAAAGGACTGATAAGCTTTCGTGAATGGCACAGCCGGGCACTTGAGTATGCAGCCACCCACCCCAACAATCCACTGGCTCGCATCACCACTATCACCGACGGCCACAACGACGAGACTGCAGCTTATTTAGTGAAAGGCGGCCAGATTGATAACAAGCATGTCCTCGGGCTTGATTTTGAATCTGCCATTCTGGTTGATGAGGGATATATACGCAAATATTTAGATCGTATTCACGCCGCGAGCTATAGCGGATAGATTAGCATACATTGTACAATAACCTGAGTTGTCACACGTCACGTAAGTCGATTATTGGATAAGAAGCGTAGTTCTGTCGCCTTCAAAAGATTCAATTAAAAAAGCGTGAAAAGGTTGATTGATTCTGTTGCCATGTCCGGCACTTTCCCGCACTTATTGTGGGTCTTATTTGATCCGATCCGGGCTAGCGCCTTAGCTAAGCCCCCTATGTACTATGTATTTGACACGAGCTTTGGGGGTTTTCCGACATTTAACCGCAACCCCAAGGGTTCGATCCCCGATGCCGTTGTTTTCTTGTTTATTTATTTTATTTTATTTATTTTTATTCTATAATCGTCATATATTTACAGTATCGAATCTGGGTACTCGTCCAATTGAGAAAGGCCGTCCCGTAACGTTCGGAAGCCGACGTTTGGAAAAAGCATTTCTCTATGTGTCCGAACCTTGTCGGCCGGAGATGCGCACGCCCGGGCGGCCCTCGAGCTGGGGCTTGCGGCTGCGCGTCAGGACTACGAGCTCGTGACTGACCCGGACGAACTCGTCGCAGATGTACCGTGCTAGGTCGCCAAAGTCAGATTGATTAGTGATGGAGCTGGGTTGGGCGACCAAGTCGACACCTGACTCTAGTGTAAGGTTCTGCATAATACATATAATAGCATCGTAAATTGAAGCATCTTCGTGTAACCTTTTCTCTTGGTACCTATTTGACTATGTACATGTATTAGGTAGGCAAAGAGCGTAACTTACATAGTACATGGCAATAGTGCCATTTATTCCTTGTTTCCTTGTGCCATGGATAGCCGCTAGCCTATTGCCCGAAGAGGAAATTACCGCTTTGGGAAGTACACTACTTATCATCGCACAGTGACACATTCCGGCCACTAAACAGGTACATATTAAGATATTAATATGGTATGATTTATTGTTTCTATAATATAATAGGATCCTCAATACCTAGGTATGTAGTAGCTAGTTGCGTCTGAGACTACTATGTTTGATGTGACGTTGCAGTTGAGAAAATGCATCCTAATAAAATTCCTCTTTCCTTTCGCGTCTTCGGGACAGTCGATGACCATAACTCCTCCTCCGCAGAGGAAGAACAGCATCTTTGAGCCGTGCTAACTGCAAGCCCAACACGGTATTTTGAGTACGTACGCAGATTTTAGAAAAGACACATCAACGCCACCTACCCCTCCTCTCATGCGGGAGACTACAGCGTTGCGTTTGATGATATGCGGCAGTGGGTAGCAGCATAGGTACCCGACTCAATCTATCAGATCTGTCTCGTTATCTGTAGGGGTGTCTAACCTAAGGTACCTATGTTTCCTGTGGGCTGTGGGCTGCCAAACACCGCCCGCGCGTAAGGGATGGGTGGTCTACAGCTTTTGATCTGCCAATCTTGCTAGGCATGCCAATATAGTTGCGAGGGCGTATTATATGTACAGTAGTAGCCTTAGATGGGTTATCCAGTCTTCATGTTGATCGCGTTGTATGGTGAACATGATCAGTGGGAGAAGACAGCCCAATCGATCCAGTTCACTGGCTTAATACATCTCGGGACTAATTAAACTGAGTCCTATTGATAATCAGCGTCTTATAGTGTCTGGAATACTTCCATCCATACGAGAGAGTTTATTTTTCTCGCTCGAGTGATGGTCGTCGTCGCCGTGGCTGGCGGCACAGGGGGTGTCGGTCGTGCCGTGCTAGACGCCATCGCCAAATCAGGTCGACACCGGGCTATCGTGTTATCGAGAACAGTGAGCTCGCTGGTACATTCGATTTGATGCAACAATATTAGACTGACGATATTCTGGGCAACCGACGAGCCGCGACGATTTGCTGTTGACTATAGCAACGTCGAGCAGCTGCTTGAGCTGCTCCGGAGAAAACAACGTAGAAGTCGTTGTTTCCGCTCTTCTTCTCACTGATGAGGTTGTGGCGCAATCACAGATCAACCTAATCAGGGCCGCCGCTCAATCAGGGACCGTGACAAAGTTCATCCCCAGCGAATACTACATCGACTTTCATGCCCCGATCCCGTAAGGCTACCCAAATCATAGTACTATAGCCTACGTGTCTGTCTACCAGGCTGACTTCCTGTCATCGATCAGTGGTTCTCCCCCGTCTCCCAAATTTGAAATCGAGGCTGAAGCAGAGCTCTCGCGGCATCCACAGCTCACATGGACGCTGATCAGATTAGGCATCTTCCTTGACCACCCGACAATGCCGCATAACCCCAAACCGACATACGTGAGCCCGTATTGGGTTTTTATTGACATAGACCATGAACAATGCGTTTTCCCTGGTGACGGGTCACAGTTGCTTGTGCTTACCCACTCGACAGACCTCGCAGCCTACATCGAGTGCCTAGTCGGCCTCCCAGCTGAGGATTGGCCGCGCGAGTCCCTCATCGCGTCCAACAAGCTGCAAGTAAGGGACCTCGCACCTCTTGCCAAGAAGGTCACAGGTAAAACAGCCTAACGTCCAAGAATGCACAATTATTCGCATGACTTACATTAATACCAGGGCGAGATTTCAAAGTCACATACAACCCGGTAGAAGCAATTCGAGAGGGTCGCATTACGCCTTTGCCCTCTAACCAGGCCGTGTTCGATGAGCCAGTCAAGGGCGAAGTTTTCCGTCAAGTCGAAGTCAAAGTCATGCTTTCGATGCTGAGCCACGCGCACGACCTTCCCGGGAAGAACCTAGCCGAGCTCTTCCCCGAGGTCCAGGCGACCCATATCGAAGACTTTCTCCGAGCTGGGTGGGCACTCAAGCAGAGCGCAGCTACATAGTATCGGTCGTGGGAGTGGGGGATGGGCAGTGGGCTTCATATCAAAGAGATATAATTTCCTACGCCTTTTTGTTATGATCGTAAATTTTGCGTCAATGACAGTCGTGTGGAATTTCTGGCAAACCCCCTGAACTCTATAGGCGAACGATCAAACTCTATAAATGAATGATTCTATTACTTTAGATACCTTTTACATGGGGGAAAGCCTAAGCCTCCAAACATTGTTCTGTTTAACTTGCATGGCGTCTCTCAAAAACCAAGACCTGGTCACTACCTATCTTAGTACGTATCTAATCATTGGTATTCTTATCTTCAATCTGTCTAAAGTTCAACAACCTCGTAGTTCTTTCTTGCGTAGAGAAACCAAAACGATATAACAAAGATGGCAATAAGAACAAGAACCCCAGCTGCGTAGTTCATCTGGCTAGCGGGTGCGTTGGCGTAGGCAGGGAAGCAATAGAAGGCAAAGGCCACTGCAGTCCACGCAAGCATCACACGAGGTTTGCCAGGAGGCCCAATTTAGGGTACCAAAACGGCCCGTGCTGGAAGTTCTTCCTGCCGTGCCAGATCACCAGTAGAGTGGGGATGCTGTAGCTCTTGCTGAAGTGGCGATGCAGAGGAAAGCCGGACTCTCGGCTGATCGTCCAGGCGAGGCGAGACTGCCATGTCTGGACCCCCCAGACGGACATGAAAATGAGGAACAGGACGGGAACCCAGAGGGCGATAGTCGAGGCTTTGCTGCCGGTGATGCTATAGATGACAGCAGCGCCAGTGTAGTCCGTATTAGCATCAAGAGGGCCCAGATTGACAAGAATAGCGAAGACCATTAGGATACCGCTACCGAACGCGACGACGACGGTCCAGACCAGGGCCTTCGGGATGTTCGTGCTGGGGGAGGGGATCTCCTCTGCCAAGTGGGTGGCAACATCCAGACAGGAGAAACACCAATTAGTCCCATTCAAGCACCATAGGCCATAGCTGAGCATCATCATAATAATAATTAAATATTGCTTTATTAAGATATTACTAGAAATATATTTTAAATATATCAGTTATATAATGTAGTTATTTTCTTTTTTTTCTTTTCCTTATTTTTAGTATTATTGTTTCTTTCTGAATTCCTGGCTATATTGATCGAAAACATATAGGCATTAAGGCAGTTGCACCAGATGCCCTCAGCTAACTGTGCGTCGGCCTTCTGGATCTTGTGGTGGCGTGGATAGTACCTACCTACATATAAATAGGTTACATGTAGGTAGCGAGGTGCACCATAATAGCGGCAGCCATAATAGCGGCAGCCATAATAGCGGCAGGTCGTACATACGTTGACGCTGTGGTTGGACTATCGGCGCTGAGCAATGCCTTAATTACCCCGTTTAATTGGGTCGTGCGTATTTTCTATTGTATTCGTATCAATGCTCTGTGCCTTCTAAGCAACCCTCACAAGTCTTTACCCAAGTACAGGTAGTTATGTAAAAATATCGATATATGCAAGACCTCAGGCAATGCAGCCAAAGCGGGCAAGTGCTTCAACTCGCGATAGAATATCATTGCAGGTACGCCTCAGCGGACTCGGCGTCAACAGCGCATGTGAGTGTAGAGGGCCGAGCTGCTGATCGGCAAGAGGATATCGTCCCTAGCTGCCTGCATGCCGCATGGAGATATGTGTACGCGGCCCTTGAGTAGCATGGCCATGCGCCACCTCCAGGGCAGCCAGCACCCAGTTCAGGCGCCTACGCAGACCCTCCTGCAGCTGCTGGAAGATGACAGGATAACAAGGACGACAATATAATTGAGGTTAGATTGGCAATGATGTTGAGCTCAGCGTTCAGAGTTGGGCACTGGTACATTAATCTATACGAAGTATCATGCGATACATCGCGATGATCACATTTGTGCAGCAGATCTGTGCGTGCAAGGCGCTCGATAGGAAGCATCAAACCACCCAGCCCAAGGCCATCGATTATTACCACCATTAATAAGCGCACATGTACGCGACCTATCAGCCGAACACAAGCACCTGCATTCGATCCTTACTTATTTGGCATCGAGATTGAACACCACTACCTGAGTGAACCTGTTCTCTCGCTAGATAAATACCGTCGGGAGCTGCATCTCGCCTATTCAGTCATGACACTGAGCGTCCGTGTCGGATAACAAGACCCGTCAGCGTCACCATTATAGACCCCGCCCGTTGCCGTAGACAGGCTACGTAGGTATACTTGAGAACAGCTCACCGATTCCTCTATACAAGTCAGATCACGAAACAGTCTACGCCGCTACTATTATCAAATACGGACCATGAGCCCTACAACGGTGCCTTCGCAAGGGCAGGACGGCGTTCCACCGGTGGGCAACGGCAGCTATGAACGTTTGGGAGAGACGTTGGCAATTTTGGGATGCGGTGCGACTCAACCGACTGCGACACACACGCACACGCACACCTCCATGCTGCACGCTAACGTATGCCCCTGAACAGGTCATATGGGAACCGCGATACTACTCGGGGTCCTCTCCGCCCTAGCCTTGCGCTCCAAGCCGGACAGCTCAGACCTGCTGCCCAGTCGCTTCAGGGCTTGCGTGAGGCATCCCGAGGCGGCCGACCGCATCCGCTCCCGGCTGCCGCTCCATGCGCTCGACACAGCCGTGACCCTGCATGTGAACGACAACCTCGCCGCCGTCGAGAGGGCTGACATGGTCTTGCTAGCCTGCCAGCCGCACCTCTTCGAGGCCGTGCTCGGGGAGCCCGGCCTGGCTAACGCGCTCCAGGGGAAGCTGGTTATGTCGGTGCTCGCGGGCGTGACATCAGAGGAGATCGAAAGCAGCCTAGAGCGCGCCGCCACGCGCCGCAGCGGAGGTGCCTTCTCCGTCGTGCGCATCATGCCCAACATCGCGAGCGCGGTGCAGGCGTCGAGCACAGTACTTGAAGCGCGCGGCAGCAACGGACTGCATGCGCAATTTGCGGCGACGGTAGGCGCCATCTTCTCGTGCGTCGGGGCAACGTTCACAACGCCGCCCGAGACATTCCCGATCTGCACGACGCTCAACGGGTCGACACCAGCCTTCTTCGCCATGGTGGTCGACGGCCTTGTGGACGGGGCCGTGGCGCTGGGCCTATCGCGCGCTGAGGCGACGCGCATGGTCGCGGCCACGATGCGCGGCACGGCCGAGCTCATGCTGGCTGGCAAGGACACGCACGACCTGCGCTACGAAGTTGCATGTCCCGGTGGCGCGACGATGCAGGGCATACGCGTACTCGAGGAGGCGCGCACGCGCGGCGTCTGGATGGACGCTGTGCGCGTGACCACGTCAAAGCAGAGCGGCCTAAGGGACGGGCTGTAGGTGGGGAGGCGGCCGGCGTGACAAATGCAGATTCCACGTTGTTTTTTTGCGACGGGAATCGGTATACCTTAAGTTTACGAAGGGTCATTGTTAGGATAACGGTCATGTGGCCTCGTCACGTGACCAGGGTTATGCCCACACACACCGCCCACGCACCGCCCACGCGTTTGTACAATAGACACCTCTCCCCATTTGGGGGAACCCCTCCTCTCTTACATACCTTAATAATAACAACAACCAATCAGACCACAGTTTTCGTTTCTATTTTCGTCGTATTACGTAATACAAAGTAACTCCAACAGTCATTATGTCGAACTGTTTTTCTATTTCTATGGGAGTCATGCCCGAATTAAGCGAAAAGGTGGTTGTTTTAGGATTAATATAATTATTAAAAAGGAAATACACGAGTATGTTTTATAAAAATATTAATTGAATATATTTATTTAAAAAAAAAAAAAAAAAAAAAAAAAGGTAAATCTTAAATTAATAACGTTTATATAAATTTTATTCACACGGATATATTATATTTCTGCATTTTAACGTAATATTAACTGTATATATTGCGGTACGGAAGTGGGGCGAAGGCAACCGTTGATCAAGACCAGCTGGCCTGGAGTGATGCGGCAGCCCCTAGGATCAACCTGCTAGTTTGAACACTATGACAAAGTACGAGACCAAGACTGTGAACTATGATATCTATACTAAGATCGCGGAAGATTGATGAAATAGCTTTTTCGTTTGAAAGACAAGCTCTGATATCTATCTTCGGGCGTCAGGACCCAATAACTGCTCTGTTATAGGGGTAAGCCACGGCGCCTACGTAGATAGTTGATCACGTCATGAAGTGCTCATCCGCCTAGCAGATATTCCTACAACGCTTCGGAAGTCCAGGTACTCGTATCGTTCTTCGAGTCACCTGTCACAAAAATGCCAGAATTCCCTCCGCCCATCGATCCATCTTATGTACCATCTGTCTCCCTTGCGAAAATCCCGGCGACGGCGCCGCTCGACGATATTATCAACACTCTCAAGTGAGATGGCGCGCTTGTCTTGACTGATCTTGTTCCTCGTCAAGATATAGCTGCTTTAAATGATGAGATCGAGCCCTACATCTTGAAGGCTAAGGCCGAAACTCACGCCGCGTATGACCTGATTCCAGAACAAACGACCATGGTCCCCGGTGTCGTAGGGAAGTCACCTACAATGGCCAGGATTGCCGAGTTCGAGGTGATTGATCAACTGCGAAAACGTGTGTTGGAGAGAAGATGTACTGCAACCTGGGAAGACCGAACCGAGGAGTTCACCATCGGCCCGTTATTGAACTGCAGTTTGACATACCATATCAGCCACGGCGGTCCTCGCCAAAGGCTGCACAGAGACGACATGATCCACGGGATCTATCACAGCGGCGAATACAGCCTCTCGAACGAGACCCAGCTTGGCTTCATGATCGCCGGGTGCAAAACCACCCGCGAGAACGGAGCTACGATGGTGATCCCCGGTTCTCACAAGTGGAATCACACCCGGGTTCCTAGGACCGATGAAGTCTGCTTTGCAGGTGAGTCGAGTTTGCGTGTTCTGCCTTTGCGGGACACGGATGGAGCTTCGCATGACGTTTCCAAGAGGAAGATCTGACTCCTGATCGGCGTACCAATTTAGAAATGGAACCGGGCTCCACGCTTGTCTTCTTCGGCAGTGTCTATCACGGCGCCGGGCACAACTCTGTTCCCGAACAAGTGCGCAAGGTCTACGGTCTATTCTTCATCCCGGGCACGCTCCGGCCCGAGGAGAATCAGTTCTTGGCTATCCCCCGGAGCAAGGTGCTCGGCATGAGCGATAAGATGCTGTCTCTGCTTGGGTATAAGAAACCAGAGACCTGGCTCGGCATTGTCAATAACGGCGATCCGGCAGAAAACCTTGGAGAAGTTTTGCAAATGGCTATCCAGTAAAATACTATCACACAGCCGATACGTACTATTGGGTCATTGAGATGTGGCAATATTAATGAAATTCCTGATGATTTGATTGATTGTGTTGTAATCGTAGGAACGCGTTATTCACCGCTAATTACATGAAATTAGGGAATCTAGGTCACCTGACATGGCTGACTAGTATGACACATATGAACAATCAGATCTGTAGAATCGCTCCGCAGTTAGCAACATTTTCCTTTACCATTCTATTGTACAAGGCTTGCAAAAGGTGCAAATGGTATAGAAATGGTATGCAAAACAAGTTTCATCAAATAATACCAATTATTAAAGTTTTTATACCATAGTATAGTAGGTCAATTGATTTTACCGATTACAAAAGATTTATTGGATGTGCGCTAAGGTGTGGCTAGCCAATAAGAGGTTACATTTATATATGGGCCACGCAGCTAGTATAGGTAGGTACCTAGGTACCTAACTTATAAGATTTACCTAACCCAATTGGAAGTGGGATACTGGAATCTTTCACAATACAACATCCTTTTACATCCTTTTACACATCATTGCACAACGTCTTCCATCAGCCAAGGCAAAACCTTCTTTCCCCAGTACTGCACCATTTTATAATGGCCCAATCCCTCAGGCATAGATTGGATGGCTTCGGCCAACGCCTTTCCATCTCCCTCGGCTTTCACTTGGTGAAGCGGAGTCATGTAAGACCGGACAGTGAAGATGACGGCGCTTGTACGTGGCAGTTTGGTGAGTGTTTGGTGTTCCACGCGCAAGTAGCACTCGTCGAGAGAAGGATCTTCCTTGTAGTCGGAGACCTCCTGGTCAGTTCCAGGGTAGTAGTTATTACCGTCAGTGCGGAAGAGATCGGCGCCGTCAACCTGGAGAGACCACTTTTTTAAGTTAGTCCGGGGGGCAGATCACAACAATCACGACATGATGGGGATGATGACTTACATTCATGCGTCCTATGAAGTCGCCGGGCTGCATCCGAGCAAAATACCGATCCACGCTAAGTCCGAGCTTCCTTTCGTAGCCTGGAACTGGTTTGTGGATTTCCCGGACGGACTCACCGACACGGGATGGACTAAGGAATCCACCTGGGAAGCAAGCAATGTATCCTTGTAAGCGATACTCTCCGTCTGCGTCAGGGCACATGAAGTAAAAGTCTTCCTATTTCGCATTTTAGAGTCAATAACTAAGCCTTCTTAAGAGTTTAGTTATATGTAAATGTAACAATACTGACCTCGACGTTCTCTCCCATGTACGCCAGCATTTGGGCATGTGTAAGTCCCTCGGTAGTAAGTGGGTAAGTCGCTCCTGTAGCTAGATTCTTGACCGATTTCCCCCGCATCTTCCCTTGCGTCTTGAACATGGTTGGGAACCTAGCGGGCAAATACCTGATCATGATCTCTTCGTATAATTCCTCGATAGCTGGATTGACTGCCTCGCCGGTCCCGATCGTAAACTCGGCCTTTTCTCGGATAAGGGGCAAACGCTCTTGGATACGACCAAGATAGCCACGATCCATTCTAATCCAATCTGAACGAACACGCTTTTGGATTCCTGTATTTCATGAGCCTGGAATTATGAATACTAAGGGGTTGACTTCATTACCCATAGTAACGTGTCCTTGAGTCTTGTACGGCTGGTACTTAATAGGGTCTACCTTACGGAAGTCGAAATCCCATAACGGCTCGATTTCATCATCTTTGGATGACTTTTCCTTGAGGGTTTTAGTTTCGAGTTTCCGATTGAAGATCTTTATGATCTGAGTTAGTGCTAACAGCACTGGAGCTAGGAAGAGAAACCATAGTGCTTCCGAAGTAAAAAGTCTGTTGTATGCAATCTCAAACATGATGGAATAGGGTAATATATGTTCCAATATATTGCTTAATTTCTAAGTCTTCAAGACATCTTCGGATGTCTTATATACTCGTGAGATTATGGACAATTGTGGAACCCCATCCAAAAGCTTGCAAGCGAACAACTAGTCACCCTACAGATGAAACATCATGGGTATTGTCTTTGGAATGCAGTGTAATGTTTTAGCTAATCAAGCTTGAGAATAGACTCGGGGGAGTCTACATATTGCAGTGTCTTTGCAGTGTGGAGAAATATGGGCTCGTAGACATGCAATCCTGTCTGCCATAACGAAATCAAAAATCAGATGACTCCATCTAATACACATGGTATACGTGTGTTTCTTGGCTAAAGTTCTGCCGTCTTACGCTATCACCTATGTATAAAGACTCTGGCCTGGGCCTTGATCATGGTTAACTCCACTAGGTTTTCCCATTAAAGGAAGCTCATTTTCAACTTCAACTACGTCCTTTCTGGATGCTCGTATATTTGATTTCAAGCTCCAGGTCTATGTAAAGATCAGGTACCTTATGAGAATCTTGATCATCATTACCTAATGTTTTGGCTGTAAGTTGCGTAGACCTTGTTAAGTTAAGCTGCAGCTGGGACGTACAGCAACGATACGCATGAGACAAGCACCTAATATATGCAACTTCCACAATGCTCGCCATGTTAGGCTATGTCAAAAACTGATCCGTACCTACTTAGGTAAGCGTGTGTGGGGAAACTCGATTTTGCTATAGTCGCTTTGACGAACACAGATATCAAATATCGAATCTCCCAGCTGCAAGGTAGCATTCCAGGGTCTCTTTCCCGCGTGCCGTGTCAACTGACTAATATTGTCAATGAGATCCTTGACATCGGATACGGAGTTTCTACGCTGCCAAGATAGCATCACATGTAGACATTGCGGAGGTAGATGCTTCATTCGACGTAATGGAGTCGCTTAATGAGGCATGTGCGGCATCCGGGTATTGAGCCCATGAGGAGTTTGACTAACAAGGGTTTCGGTGGGCCAGAAATGAAGTTGAATTAAGACAACCGGAATTTCCCATTGGCGAATGTAAGAACCTTGTTCTAACGCAAGGCAAAGATGGCGGGCTAGCCGGTTTAAGTCCTACACCAGAGTTATCTTGTTTGATAGAGTTCCTTGTACTTTTGTCAGACAGCGTTTAACAATATGAATTGGAGTAGATATTCAGTTATGCTTTCATGTGTTATGTTGTTACTCGGTATATCTTACATTCCAATATTCTAAATGTAAAACAATACAACTGCTTCGGTCAGTAGGGTAGCCGGTCCACATGACTTAGAAAAGTGGTTACTAGTCTGGCATAGCACATAGCATCACCCCGCTGGGATCATTATCGATCCTTGCTCGCGGAGTAGGCAGAGGTGGGTTCGTATATACGTAGAACAAATCCCGCCCACCCTGCCTAGGCTCCGTGTAGGCCCGAGCTCCTAGATGCGGCTCCATATTTAGGTAGGATCGGTATGGAGTACCGTAAACATATTTCCCTATGCACTCAGGCTCAGGTGCGAGAGAGACACAGATACATACACATTCCGTTTATATTGGTAAATTAAGACTTTGGAAAGACTCAAAACATGCCGCTTACGAACGGTGCAAAGTCTCGACCAACCAAATGTAAATAGACAATTATCGTATCTTCCTCGCACCTAGGAACATAATAAATATGACATGAATAGGATGTGATACTATATGAAGCATGAGTAGTCTTTGTATAAGGGCGCTTAAGTCTCTGTTGGATATGATCCGTTCATTCGAATTCTGACTTTCTCGTGATCCACGACATTCAATCCCATGGGACTAACATCATTGTACTAAGAGACGAATAATAAGCGCCTTTTTATTCTCTCGGCCACTATATATCCAATCACCTAAATGCATGATGTCGCTTGCTGGGTTAAACTGATACCTAGCTAAGAGACATCCACACCGGTATGGAGTCAAATCCCGAAGCCAAGGAATAAGCATCTAGGTACTAATTCCATGACTTGCTGGTTATATTTTCTCAAAACAAAAGCCCTTTATTATTTTAAAGCCGCAGAGTCAAGTATACCTCAAAAATAGGTACCTCAATTTTTGAGTATATTAGAAAATCGACCAGAGATAATGAAATGATGGGACATGATCATAGGGCATTCTCGGAAGACTATTAGTAGTGGCCCCTAACTAGTAACTATGATCAGCTAGAATTCTCTGCATGGGTTATTGGACGGAATGATACATTACGCGTATACACTAAAAATAGGCACTTTCAATCCCGACTAGTTAACTATCGTAGGTTAATTCTGAGAATCCATGTCCTAATTTTCGTAAGTGCCGATATTGGCATCTTCTTGCCAAGGCTTGCAATTACGAATGCTAGGGCATATTTGCAATACGAATATAAGAGGTACCTAGGTAGGCATAACGTATGAAGTCGTTGAGATAAACCAATTCTTACTTGCGGCAAAGGAAGAGCCCTAAAACCTCGGTCCCTCCGCCAAGGGTGTAGCATCTATGACAGCAAGAACAGAAAGCAGTATTAGCGGCGAAGAATTGTTGTTATGCTGAAGGGATTCTTAGTGTACCCAAATCCCGCATATCTGCAGGAGTAGTGAAAAATCATTCTGTAATTAAAAATAGTCATTAGCGACGGCTTTATAAATTTCAAGGAAGGGCAGTGATAAGACAGACATAAGGTGATAGATGTTATGTACAAATGATATTGTCGTGTAGAGAGTTATAGACTGCATATATACCTTATACCTTATACCTTATACCTTATTTGATGTAACTCCCTCCTGGCCATGTGCTCCAGGTGAAGTTATTCAGTATATGCTTTCCTGTGAAAGGCTCTCATGCACAATACCTAGGAGTTTTACAGGATAGCGTGTGAGGATATCGCGCTTGAAAGAAAAAGAATTTTTTTTGAATCGTAAAATATATCGACACACTTTAGGAAAAAATAGGCGGAAATCGTGAGGAAACTTTCGCCAGTAGTTACCTAATTAAGGAAAGTTGTAGATAGGGCGGGGTCTTCCATATTTTTCTGCTGGGGGTTGAGTAAAGGAGAGGAAAGAAGAGGAGAGGGGAAATAAAGACATAAGAGTAACGTAAGATCCCAACCCTATTATATAACGGTTAGGCTTTATTCAGATAGCATTTGATTATCAAACTGGAGACGGCCCTGAGCCTTCGAGCCTGATGATTATAAGTCAAACCACCCTTACTGGGGCCACCCTAGTGGGGGCCACCCATTTCCCATACAAAATCAACGATTTCGCATATCTGTATTTGATTCAAGAAAATAGATAAAATTATACAGTCTTTGATTTTGAGTACGGTATTGGATTTTAACCAGGTATAAAATTTTGAAAAAATGGCAGGGCTAATATCTGTGATGAAATAAATACAAGAGTATACACTAACAATTACACATACAAATTTATATACAAAGCTGTTAAGGGATATTATTGCTTATAACTTTACCAATTAATATGGTATAAATGTAGAATCTATATCGTTAAATAAGGGACGTTTTAATACAACTTTTAAATCTAGGGCCAATTATATAACTTATTTATCTGAGAAGTTATAAGCGTTTATAAGGTGTTGGAATATGGGGAATAGCCAATTATGTAATCTAGCCACGTGCCACCACGTGCGTGGGGCTAAGCCTAAAAGGGTTTACCTTTTAGGCTAACCCACACACACACAACTCAACAACAAGCAACAACAGATCGTGATAGCCTCATTTCGGTACCGTGTATTCCCTTTCCTTTGCCGTACGCTTATTGGTGTACACCTAATCCTTACCTAATTATTACCCATACCTGGTCCTTCCTACATAAGGTTTTATGGTAATTTGATGAAATTCCCATATAAAATTAAAATTTTAAAAATTTTAAAAATAACATTAAAAATACACTTTATTATTTTACTATCAAAATATTAGATTTTAAATATGATAAAATGTACATAAGCTATTATAATGATCGCAAAGTAAAACATAAGAGATTATATATTTTTATCTATTTTCTTGAATTAATTCTAGACATGCGAAGTTGTTGATTTTGTATGGGAAATGGGTGGCCCCCACTAGGGTGGCCCCAGTAAGGGTGGTTTGACTTAACCTATGATATTCTGCCTTCGCGTAATTTGAGGCGTTTATGATTTCTTCCTTCTACCTTAGCACATAACTCGTTTTTTCTAACAGGGTGGTCTTTGAACGGAAATAAAAGGTGTCCGTAAGTCCGTCAGTCCATATCAATCCCAGTCCGACGTCCTGGTATAGAGGCAATAATCCGATAGGCGCGAAGGCGAGATTATAGCCACAGCCAGCGGCTTCATAGTTTTGAGACCCGATGCTAGCACCAAGGAAGTATAGCATCTAGGTGGAGCTTGAACCAGATAATTGGTTTCTCTGCCGTCAAAAACTGCCCAGGATCTTGGATTTCGCTGCCCTTTCATCTTGTGACCGCAGCTCTGATATGCCGATATATCAGCCTCAGAAACTGTAACAAGGGCTGTATAGGTTTGGAACGTATATTCAATTTACTAATAATCCACAAAGGTCTCAAGATCCTTAATTCCTTCCCTTCTTCAAAGGGACGGACTCAAGTCCTATTTGTAAACAGTCCTGAGTACGTATCTTGAGATCTAACCAAGATACTATAGTAAATGTTGGTTGTTCTTGCATAATCCTGCATGTCCTTGTGATACGGCTCATCCAATGATTCTAATATTGGTTATCCTAACCGTCTGACTAGCGCTTGTCCATCTCATATAGCGACCAACACCCTCTTGGCGGTGTTGTCCGTGTGATAAAAATCCCCCCAGAAGAACAGCTCTGTTATCGAGGTTCTCTCAGTCGTAGTACCTGGACAACAGGTCTCCAGCGGGAGCAAGACCGGTAAGATAATCGCTGCTCACCAATGAGTTGTCAAGATCGACTTCTCGACCGAGAGGTATAACGAATCTGTCTTAAATCACCAGGGAGTTAATAGCAGTACGTCTGGGTGTCTTGATTTAAAGGTAACAATAAGCGAGTCAACAAGTTGTTCGTCAGGGAGACTTAAGGGGCTCCCACCACTGGATAGAGGCATGAGTCTATACAGTAGACAAAAGAGTGTTGTTAGTTTGCTAGCTAAGAAACTAAAACTAAGAGAGCGACTAAATACATAGCAAATAGTTGTTTTTATATATCTTATAGTGACGGTAGGATAGAACGGGTTAATGAAGTCGAACGCGAAGGCTTCGATCACGTGATTCATTATGGTGTTTTAGTGAGTGGCGAATAGGGGCATTTTGATGCACCCTACTTCAGTGTGTCGCACGAGACCCCTGGAAATGCCTGGAAATGCCGTCCTCCATTTAAAATACTATCACCCTCTGTTTAGCAACAATCCAGCCACGACGAAGTCCACTCTTCATGACGCCATCTCCGGAAGCGAAGCGGTTGAAACGAAGAATCGGTGCAAGTACAATCCTTACTGGAAAGGTGTTAGCTTTGATGCATTCGTATGAGATTTCGACATGTCAAAATATATAGTGCAGAACTGGAGATGCATGGGAGGAGACGGCTAGGGGGCTGAGATGGCGGCGCTGCATCGGCTTTATCCTCGGAGAACTTTACGGGACAATGTCTTGGGAGGTAGATAGAACGAAAGCCACGTACCTGTTGGGCGTCGTGAACGGCTTTACATAGCCCTGCCATGTTTTCGTGAGTGGAGAGTTTATCCAAATAAAGAATACCACCAGCGCTGACGCTGATGGAGGCTGTGTGACCCTCGACCGTTTTGGGCTTGTCCGTAAAGATCATATTAAACCGGGAATCAGCCTTATGAAGGGCGTCTCGCAGCTGGGTCGTGTTACTATTACAGGAGGCCGGTCCCCAGATAGTCTTTTCATCGTAGGTAAGGACGCATTGCTTTGTGTGGCCTTCGACGGAGTGTGCCTTCGCATCAAGCCAGGCTCTGGTAGCCATGATTCAAGTCTTTTGTTTGGGGAGTGTATAAATGTGATGATAATAATCGGTGGTAACAGCGATTCAAGGACAATAATGGGTGGTTATAGTCCAAGCCAAGTTCTCTTTTTCATGTAGGCGGGTTGGTTTATAATATATATCGAGGAGAATAGGAAAATATGCACGCAGACAGACAGGGAGAAGAAATTGACGGATATCACCTTCGGATTGTCGTCCTAGGAGACGCTGTTGCCCTCGATTATCTGCGGCCTTATACTCTGGACGCTTGATATTGCAGCTCAGCTCGCCACCTGATGATACCACATTCCTGACGGGTACTGTAAACGGATATGTACGTGGTGTTCACATGTAATACTAACTATTATCTGATCGGACATGAAGACCCTCGAGGCTGTCATGCTCCTATACCATTGGCTGTATAGCATAATATGCCCATCGGTGTAAACGCTGTAGTCCTAGCCACGTCGCCATAAATCGTTACGCCCGCGAGGCTAGAACATGGCTTCTGGCCTGGGAGAGGTGCGGATGAAGCTATTGCCTGGCAAAGCTGTCACCGGTCAGTAGAAAAGAGATGTGATGGTAAAGCAAGCACTGTCGGTTCCCACGAATGATAGCTGTGGCGGCCTCTCTGCTCGCTGAAACGCATCGCGCTGGTGCAAATCAGTGAGGTTGACCACGGGTAATAGCTTCAACCTCGGGGCACAGAGTTGTACGGGCGTTAATACTGTGATCCTAGAGGCTCGATCACCCGATCGAACTGATAGAAGCAGTGAACCAAATGATCACGCCCCCTCGACCGAGCTGGAGTTGCTGTTATGCTGAATATCGACAGGGCGCTAGCGAACCCGAGGGGTTGGTGACTTCTCTCAGTAAACTTAGACTACACTCGTCGAGGTTTCATGCGATATGTAGTCCGGGATAATTTGTTGCAAAAGATGAGCAAATCTTCTGGGGTCCTCGACAGCTCAGCCAGAAGCGAAAATGAATGGCCGGGTGTGGGCATTTTACCCCAAACTCAACACCACGTACTATATTCAAAATGAATATGAACGAAGGCCATGGAAAATAGGAAGAATCATATACTTATTCGTTAGCCCTTGATTATTATTAAAGATAGTTTTTACGTTTTAATTATAATTGCTTTACCATTTAATTTACTTTTATAATCGTCGATTATTCAAAGAGGCCAAATGCCAAGATCCGGCCGTTAATTCTCGAGCCAGGCTGAGCTCCGTTTGAGAGAAAACGGTTACCCGGCCCCGGCTGCAAAACGGAGCACAAGCGTTTAGGTAAGTCAAAGCACCCTTATAGGGGCCACCCTAGTGGGGGCCACCTCAAAAACGCGACGCGTTTATAATAAGGTTTATATATAAATTATTATATAATTTTATTAGTTTTTAATTAATTAAAAAATAAAATTTATTATTTAAATCTTTATTTTTTTACGATTTTAAAATATTTATTTTTTTAACTTAATTGTATTGTATTGCGGTAATAAATAACGTTTTCGATGGCGTATCCCTACGGTAAGCGTTTAAAAAATATTTTATATTATAATATTATTTTATAAATCAAATATTAGGTTGTAGAATACAAAATAATTATTTAGAAGAATGTTAGAAACTATTGAAATATTAAAAAAAAGAATTAGTTGATTGGGTTATTACGTTAAGTTATATTAGCTATATGTTTTCTTTATATTGATTTAAAGATATTGCAAGAAGATTATTAATTTATAATTATTAACCCGATATTTTTGGTAAATATTAGTATATATAATTTTTATTTTATTATTTTAATATTAAATCGGTTAGGATTTATTTAATTAATTATAAATAAGTTAATAAGGTTATAGTTAATAATATTAATATCTTTTTTAATTAATTTAAAACCTTTAAGATTAAAAATATCCCGATTAGGTATATATATAACGTTAATGAGATAGAGATTATAAAAGGGGTTAGGAATAACAGGATAATTATTGGCAAGGTTTATAAAAAATGTATTATGGTTAAAGATTGTAGTAATAAGATTTAGATGTTAATTATTAAGTACGTTAATGGCAACAGCCAATTTTTAAATTCCTTTATTATATATGTAGGTAAATATGTATTGAACAGGAGTTGGTATCTCCTGTAGAGTATGGCATATTACTTTAATATCTAGATCTTTGTGAAAGGTTTTAAATAGTTGATGATAGTATTATATTTTGGAAGAATTATAAGGATTTATTAATTGGATAAGATATATATAATAAATATGTAAAATAAGGTTATAAGTTATAAATATAAGAAAATAATAAATGTATTTATATTAAATGTATAATTAAATGGTAATAATTGTGGTTATTTAATTAGAAGAATATGACGAATATTAGATTTTTATATGGTTTGTAATTTAAGATTATATAATAATATTTTTGTTTTTGGTAATGTGGTATTATATTAGTTTAATATTTTTTAGAGTTAACAATATTGGTAATAGTAAAGTAATTTTAATAAAAAAATATTCCGATTTAACGTATAAATCGCTAATTAATATATTTTTAATAATAATAAATTAATTTAGTTATTAAAATTATTTATATTTTTATTTTTTGATTTAATAATCTTAATTTATTTTTTAGTTTTGGTTTTAATTTGTTTAATACAGTTTTTAGTTTAATTAATAATTTTTTTAAATTTTAATTTAATTTTTTTAAATTTTAATTTAATTTATTTAAATTATTTTTTAAATTTATTTTAATTTAACCATTTTATTGGGAAATTGGGTTGTGGTTAAATAATAACAGTTTTATATATATTAATAACTTATATATATAAAATAAATTCCTTATATTTATATTGATTAGTTTTATATGGTTTAGGATTATATAAATAATACTTATTTAAATTTATTATATTTAAGAATTTTTTAATTAACATATTACTATTATTAATAATTAATTCAATTAATTACTTTGAGATTTTCGATATATTTAAAATTTTAATTTATTATTTCTTTAATATCTTTAATTTAATCCTAATAATAAATATTTTTTATTATAGTTTATGTTTAGGTATAAAGTTTATATTTTTTAAAGGTTATAAGGGTACCGATAATATTAATTCTTTAATTAATTTATCAATTATTTTAATATTTAAATATATAGAAAAAATTATATATATTTCTTAAATAAAATATATAAATTTATACCATATCTTATCGTACTTAATAAGGTTTTTAATTTTCTTATAATTAAATATAATATAAACTTATACCAATATCTACATATCTATTTATTATTCTAATCTACTATTTTAAACAAAATTAATTTTTTAAGTATAAAAATTTAATCCCAATCTTTTATAACTATTTCTAACTACTTATTAATATAATTAACTTATTAATTTATTTTATTTTTAATTATATTAAATATATAAATCTATCTTTATTTAAATATATAAATAACAAAGAAATAATAATATAAATTACTTATAATTTCCTTTATCCTTTTTAAATTTAATAAATTAATAAATACTAAAAAGGCCATTACTTTAAAATAATTCTTTAAAATCTTTTTTATTTCCATATTAAAACTTCTTATAGTTTAATAATTAAATATTTAAATTATTATTAGTTTATAATTTACTATTTAATTAAAAATATTTAATATTATTAATTTTTATAAGATTATAATTTATTCAATATATAACTACTTTTTCTTTTTATATAATTAAAAAATATAAATAAATTTAAAAAATAAATCTTATTCCTATTCTTTCCTATTAATCTTTAATAATAGCAATTAGGTATGTAATAAATTATTAAATTTATTACTCAAAAATATAATCTTATTAATAATAATTATGCATTAAGGGTTGGGATTAATATAATTTTTTTAATTAGATAATTTATTAATATGAATTAAATATTAGAATAAATAAATTAAATTATATATCTTTTATTATTTAATATTTATTTTAATTTTTATAAAAGAAATATTAAATATCTTAAAAAATAAATAAAAAAAGTGTTATTAATAATATATTAAATTAATAGTGGTAATATAATAGAATATAATAAAAATAAATTAATATAAGAATAAATATTAACTTAATTAAAATATTAATATATTAAATAATATTATAGGAAGAAGAATAAAATACTTATAAAATAATGTAGTTAATAATTTTTTTATATTATATTTTAAAACTTTATTGTTATTAATTGAAAGGACCTAATTAGCTGAAAAATCTACTAGAAAATAATATGTATACTTATATATATTTATAAATTTCAATATGGGGTAACCATTATAATATTTACAATTTATATAAATTACCTTTTCTTTTATTTTTTCTTTCTTTCTTTATAAGCCTTCGTTTTTTTATTTTATATTAAATAAATTTTAATTTTTTATAACCCATTTTAATTTATTTTAATATTATTTAATTAATTTTTATTTAATTAGTAAAATTATTTTATTTTATTACAATATTATGTTATCTTAAGGTAGATTTTGTTATTTGATTCTTGATATATATTACATATAACTTTTTATAATACCTTCTTTTACTGTCATTAATAATATTGATTTTAAAACTATTTATAAGAAGTATGCAAAATATATTACCTTTCCTTTCTTTTATAATCTTTCTTCTACCCATAATATTATAATTAATTTAATTAATAGTAATAATAATAATATTAACAATAATAATAATAATAATTTAATTCCTAGGTTTTTTTTTTATTTAAAAACTCTTAAATGCTTTAATTAGGAATTTAATAAATTTTAAATAATAAAATATTGGTAAATAATTAATATAGTAAAAAAGTTACATCTCTTACTATTTCAAATTATAAATATTTTATTATTTGATATTTAATACGTAATATTAATAATCAAAATATATAACTATTTAAATAACTAATCATTCAATTCCTTAATAGTATAATAATTGGTTGGTATGTTTGTTAGGTTGTTATAAATAATTAATTTTAAATATTATTTAAAC